CTAATAGTTTTGTGCCTATAAATTGTAAGCTCTATTTCCATCAGAGAACATCTATCTCTCTACACCTCATTACACCTATCTACACACTTCTCTCTCTAAGTTATTATACCTCTCCCGGGCCTAATCATTGCTCTCTCTCGTTTACCTTACTTCATCAGTAAAGATCCCCCGCCACTGTCGCCGTTTTCAAAAGTAGAGTAGGTCATCGGAACCGAACCATTATATATTTGTGTGTTGACTCAATATTTACATTACTGTCACTGATTGTTTTATTTATTGTCCATTAATTACACTTTATCATAAACTCAACTATTGATCTTACATAAACCTATTTTGTGTATCATCAATATTATTTATTATTAATGAGCGAAAAATTTATTTATAAATAATAGGACTGACTTAAATTCATGGGATCTATCGAAAGGGAAAATAATGAGAAAATATACATGGAAAGCTCACCTCCACGGCTCCACATGGACAAGTCACACAATTACTTGAATATCTGTTTACCTTATTAACAAAATTAGTGAAACGAACGTCTTCTAAGAAAATTGATTGAATCAATTGTCCAGAGGAAATGGTTTTAATCATAGGTTTAAAACCCGGTTCGGACATCAACCTGGAGAAGGGATCGAGTCAATGGGTTATTGGTTCAACCACTGGGTCACTGGTCGAACCAGTGATATAATAAAAAAATAAAAAAATAAAAAAATTTATTAATGATGATAAATAGACTAAAAATTTATAATAATCATAAAAATAACATGTTTAATATATATTAAATCAAACAAAGTTATCAAGCTTGAATTACTTAATTGCATTCAATTAACAAACCAATGCATTCAATTAATAGCCCAGCCTCCACCCTCAAACCTGAATCACTTAATTGCATTCACTTAATTTTTGAGTTAACAAACACTCAAAAATTATCAAACCAATACAATTTGCCTAATCTGCTATTAATCAAATCAAATATTCACTTAATTGCATTGTTCTTGAAATCAACTTCATAAGAATTCATACAAATCAAGTCTCAAGAGAAAGGCATAGCAACACGAAGCAAAAGCAAAAACCATCAGTATCATTGCAAAACCATCAACGTGAAACAAAAGAAAAAACTAGCACCAACAACAAGAAGCAAAAATCAGCTCCCAGAGCAAATATATATCTCTCTATATATATAGAGAGAGAGAGAGAGAGAGAGAGAGAGAGAGAGAGAGAGAAAGGTACCTATTGTTGTGTCTTAGAGAATGAAATTCGTAGAGTTCGAGTGAGCAAGCCAACCACATCGCAAAAAGAGAGAGAAGACTGAATCAGAATAAGAGGTTAAGAGTAATCAAACCTTAAAATCCAACGATGAGACAGAGAGGAGGACGAGAGATAGAGAGGAAGACAAGAGGTAGAGAGGAAGAGGAAGACGAGAGGCAGAGGCTCACAACGACAAAGATCAGATTAGGGCAAATGAATCGCTGTTGGTGGAGGGTGGAGGCTGCTCGTGGATCGCTGGTGGTGGAGGGTGGAGGCTGCTCGTGGATCGCTGGTGGAGGGTGGAGGCTATTGTGGTGCTGTTGGAGGATGGAGTAGTGTTTTAAAACCCCGCCCGACCCGACGGGTTCACTCGAAAAACCAGTGAATCGGTGCCTGAGCCGGGCCGATCCCTTAATTGGATCGGTCTAACAAATGGCCTGCTTGAAAACCATTCAAATCGGCCTAAAATCGGTCATTTTTCATTAAACCCGAAAAACCGATCCGATTTTCACAAATCCAACAAACCCATTGTATTGAAACTCAAACATAAAATATTAAAACTAAACTTTAAGTCCAAGCTTATACCAGGCTCATCTTATTCAAAAGAGCTGACGTCAAGCCATCAAGTCTTAACCAACAATAGTAGCAACGAGGAGAAACAATACTTTTAGTCTTTTATAGGTGCACAGTCTTCAAAACTCCCGGTGAGTTTCTGATGTGCGATAGACTAGTGCACTTAAACTCTCTTTGTTTTTTTTTTTTTATCACTTTTTTCGTTTGGTTTTTTTAGGCATCATATTATTACTATTTAAGTATTTATACTAAATATTCAATATTTCTTAGTGAATTATTTTATGCTCTATCAAATTATATCAATTATGTAAACAAATTAATGAATTGAGGATATTTTTTGTCTTTTTATTTCATTTACTATAACATAAAATATGTTATTTTTTGTAATATTATAATTTTTTAGCATATTTACCATTATTATTATTATTAATTGTATGACTGGTTCGACCGATTGATCCACGGTTGAACCAGTAACCCATTGATCCGGTTCTTTTGCTGGATTGGTGTCCGGGCCGAGTTTAAAAACTATGGGATAGAGGCTGGACTGTGGAGTGCGGACACTGAACGAATGATTTAGGATTTAGGGCAAAACAGAAGGGGAAAAGAAAAAGGTACAAAAATATAAAAAAAAGACATATTTATACCAAAGGAACAAAACCGGCCGATTTTATAAACCCGTCCGATTTTCACGGGTTGTCGATTTTTTGATCAGTTCACCGGTTTTATTCTGAATTCTTTGCTCAAACGATTCAATTACAAAATCGACTCGGTTAGGGGACCGATTTACCGGGTCAATCCGCCGGGCCGGGCCGTGCGAGTTTTAAAACACTGGTTTTAATACGAAAGTTGTTTATGCAATTATGCAAACACCTGGTTGGCATAAACTGTCGTCAAATAATATGGTAAATTATATCAATAGTCCCTCAAGTTTATCGCTTGTTGAATTTTAGTCCTTAAACTTTCATTTTCGTTAATTTAATCCTTAAAATTCAAACATTGGATTAACGTAGTCCCTCGCACTAACTTCTGTCAATATATTGATGGAAACTAGCATTTGGTTGGCACATGATTCCACCAAAGGATATTTATGTCTTTAGGCTTTTAAAATAAAGGGTGTAAATGTAATATTATATGTAAAATAGATAAACTAAATAGAATATGATTTTATATAAAAATTCTGTAAACAATCTCTCTTCAATGGCAATTGCAACGGCAACGGCAATATCGACACCGCTACAATCGCCCACCACCAAGACCACCTCCTTATTCTGTCCATGGTTCTCTCTCTCTCTCTCTCACACACACACGGTGCAACTCCCATCATTGCCCGTCCCATGACGTAGAGAAAATGGAAAACAACAAATAATTAAAATAAATGAATATTGCATACAAAGGGGAGGGACAATTCACAATAACCTTCCAATCAGTTGAACAATGTTTTTAAACGGGCACTGAAATCACCCTCCTTAACAAGCTGACCCAGCCAAAAACTCTCAAGACTTCCCAGACCTTTTTTCTCTTATCTTCTTATATTTTCTTTGCTTTTATGTCGAACACACTTTTCTTTTACTTTTACAATGGATGGCATGCTAGTTTTTTTGTATTTGCTCTTCTTATTTGTTGCTGTTAGCAGTAATAGCGATTTTTGGTGCTTAAAAGGTTTTGAACTGAAAAATATGACCACACCCATGCACACACACACGCATAGAGAGAGAGAGAGTTTTGTGGGTGGGTGGGTGCTCTGTTGGGAGTTGTGTGTGTGTGTGAGAGGGAGAGGATGAATAGGAAAGGGGAAGAAGAAATAGTGTGTTTGGGTATAGGTTTAGAATTGTTTAAAGGCGGAGTAAGGATGTTTGGACATAGGCCTAGGAGCAATGACTTAATTACCCTTTATAATGGTCACATGTTTGGCATGTGCTATTTTCCGATAATGATTTACACGGAAGTTAGTGTGAGATACTACATTAGTCCAATGGTTGAACTTTGTGAATTAAATTGATGAAATTGAAAAATTAAGGACTAAAGTTCAACAAATAATAAACTTCAAGGATTATTGATGCAATTTACCCCAATAATACGTAGAACAGAAACAACAAACCTACCTCAATGAAAGGGTCAGCTTGAGCTCTTCAAAGAGTTTTTCACCAATACAAGCGCGAGAAAATCGCAATGCTCAGAAAACTAATGCCACCCGGCGTTTTCTTCGCACTCATTTCCCTTCTTATATCACCACAAGAGTAGAGAAAACAATCCAAGTTGAAGAAAATACTCAAAAAAAAACCCTAGAAGAGAAGTGAAAAAGAGAGGAAAATGGCGAGCATGGCACTAACAACCACCTGTTCGAAATTCCAACACGCCAGAGCAATAATAGTGTGTAGCCCTTGGAGCTCTAGGGTTTTTGTTGGTGTTGCACCAAGACCTTTCCAGGTGGGTTTAATTTCCTACTATGTTCATTTCCAATACAATTTTTCATACTATAGGGTTGCCAATCCGGTGCAATCTGGTTGCCCAACTCAAAATATTTAGTAATTGCATTGTGATTGGGCAAAACACTCTGGCACCACTTACATTTACACAACACTGGGATTGAGGTCTTAGTTTCCAACCTAAATTTGAAATTTGTAAATCAAAATCGATTCAAAATTTGAATTCTAATTTCCATCCAGAATTTAGATCCAACTTTATTACCTAGATTCAACCCGAGTTTAAAAATTTAAACATGAGTAATATGGTTGATGGGTTCAAGTTGAAATTTATAACTAGGGTTGAATCTAGACTTGTCTCTCAATTCCGTAATTGCATCCCAAATTGTTATCAACCGGTAGTTCAGTGTTACTAAAAAATGTTTTATTTAGAATGGTAATGTTTATACCATTTAACAATTCAAAATATAAAAGAAAAAAGGGTAAATTACACACAGTCTCTCTAAACATAAGATCAGTTTCACGTGGCCCCCTCAAGTTTTACGAATTCCACTTAATCCCCTCTTGTGAATAAACTGCGATCCATGACAGCCCTAACGGTTTTTGCAAGAAGACTAAAATATGTTTCATTTTTCTTCTAATTTCCTTTGTAATGCCATCAATTCCAACAACTTAACACGCAACAAAACCACCGACACTAAGGGAGGGTGGGAGAGCTGTAGTAGGGGTGGGTTAGGTGGAAGAGTTGCAGTGCCTATGGGATGGGGTGGAGGAGGAGATGGGGGTAGAGATGTTGCCGGTGGTGGGATCATGCATGTGAAGGTGTTGGAGAGAGAGGTGAGACAGAAGAGCTAATGCATTTGGCTGAAGGGGATCATCCAGTAATTTTTTTTTGTTGGATAAAATTTGGATGAATGGTATAATTGGTCATTTAACTTTTTAATTTAGGAAAAAAATATTTATTTTATGCAATTACCATGTCGATATAATAAACAGATTCTATTAGATTTATAGTTTATTCACAAGTAAGAGGGGTTAAGTCGAACCCGTAAAACTTGAGGGGAGTGATGTGCAACTGACCTTTAGTTCAGGGAATCTTTGCGTAATTTACCCAAGAAAAAAAAAATGTAATGATAGAGGGATTTTTGGTTCACAATTAGTGCACTTTCTTGAAAAACAGGCAAGCTCGCGCCATGGGGCTACAGCTGCATATGATCCTGCTGCCGATGCAGCAAAACAAGCTGCCAACAAGGCAAAGGAGGGTGCCCAAGAAGTGAAGGATCATGCTGCCTCCGCTGCAGAAAATGTGAGATATTTATTACGCTACCAAATTTAATTTGCTGTTATTTTCATTGTTATTACTAATTATTTGTTCTAATTAACGTTTCGACAACCTATGGATTTTTTTTGTGTATTTTAAGGTGACTGAAAAAACAAAAGAAGTAGCCGGAAAGGTGTCGGAAACTGCTCAGGATTTGGCTGGTAAGGCGAAACAGACTGCACAAGATGCATGGGGTTCGGTTAAGGATACGACCCAGAAGATAAAGGACACAGTGGCAGGCAAAGCTGAAGAATCAAAGGAAGCCATTAAAGATAATGCTGAGACTGTCAAGCGCAACGTCAATAATAACTAGTTTCATTCTGTTGATAAAATTTACGTGGTTCATTGAGCCGTAGTGGGAAGAAAGCCATTGCACTTTTGTTTGTGGCTCGTTATGAGAGATGTTGTTTTTCTTGCTTCAATTAAGTGAAATGGAGTTTGTCTAATAATATGATTTAACAGGTTAGAGGAAAGGGATTCAATCATGCGAGTTCTCTAATAAGTAGAGAGCTTTTTCCAAGCTGAAGAATTTGTTACAGGTTCAAATTCGTGAATCACTCTCTTCAAAAATGGAGATGAGGTTGTTTATCACTAACATCTGTCATTCGAGGCGCTAGATTTTTGTAACGAGTAAGGTCTTTTGTAGTATGAGTAGGTTAGACTACTCCGTTTTATATGATTATAAGGTTAAATTGACATATATAATAATTGATGATGCATAAAAGTAAATTTATGTGTGACAAAGATTGAGGGGCTAAATTGACATATATACTACTTGATGATACACAAAAATAAATTTATGAGTGACAAAAATTGAGTGGTTAGGTCTGAGTGAGCTAACCACTGAATGGGACAACGGAGGATGAAGAACTCTATTAATGAGAGAGTACAAAGTAATTGAGGAGAAAAAAAATAAGAACAATAGTACGCTTAAGGTGAAGTGCGAAAAATCTCTGTGTGGGAGATAATTGTGTCTCTTTATATGCAAAAGACTTACAATTTATACGCACAGAATTCTAGTTGAAGCGGTAATGTGAAAGTTAAGGTACCAGTTTATTGGAGAGAATAGTTACAATTGAGGATATGTGCTATCTTCGAGTAATAACTATTTCGATTTTTATTTCTTACGTGCATTGATCTTCTTGAACTCTTCAACTTTGGATTAGGCTGAGGTTATTAGCTGAGTTTGACTTACCTAATGATGATTTAGGCTTAAATCACAAACTGGACCTAAACCTAATTTAAATCTAGACTCGTTAGTACTTTCGCTTAATTTTCAAAAGATAAAATTATTTGAGCTTAATTTACTAACTTAATCACTCTCTCCGGTTAGATTTACGGTGAGCCTCGATCCAAACTCATAACAATAAAATAAAAGAAATTTTATTTGTACTTAGCCTATAGGACTACTAATAATTAAATTTGACAGAAAAATCATATTTATGACTGGCATCCCATTTTATACTGAAAGTCGTACCAATTGATATGATTCTATAGGTAAAATTCATACTTAAATACATACGTTTAAAATCATACATAACCGTTGTAAAGATAATAACATAGTAACCAACGACCCTACAGACATAATAATTTGGTAGTGATGGATTAATTGGATGCAACTCATCATTTTCTGACCAAGTATTGCTAATCCATGTCTTACATTGAGAATTTATGTTTAATGTTTCAGACACAATGACAGAAGAAGAAAGCAGTCATATTAATGACAAACAACAGATGCAAGTCCCACAAGGCTTCCTATTTGGGCACTGTTCAAATGACCACGCCTGTACTCCACTACTTTTAGGCGCGGAATAGTGCATTTTGACCTTAATTGAGTAAAAATCTATCTATTCGATCTATTACTAATCATGAATTTTAATATTAAATAGAATCTAACAATAATAATAATAATAATGAATTATATCAATAAATTATATAAATAGATTAAATAAATGATATTGAAAAAATAATTATTGACGATTGAAGAGAGATTGGTGGAAGAGCCTAAGCATTTATCTAAAAGCAGCATTAAAAATAAATTCTAACAAGTAGATAAGAGAATTTTATGAGTTTTTATTAGGGGTGCAAGTCGGATGGGTTGGACAGTCAATTCTAATTCAACTCTAGGTATATAATTTTCAATCCTAACCTTACCTCGGGTTGAGGTACTCAACCCGAGCACTGTATGAGTTTAATTTAGGCGGATTTGGATTGAATTTGAGTTAATAATTTCGAGCTATTTTACGGGTTCAAATCAGGTTGATTTCGAGTTGAGCTCAAAATAGATTTGTTATTCTAAATCTGATACATATATGAGATAATATTGACTTAAATTAACAACTAACAACTTCAATCAAATTTTTAACATAAAAATTATAATATTAAGAACTCAATGTTTGAGATAATGCAACTACAACTATACAAAACACAAATAAACACAACCAGAATCTTTGTACAAATATAAAATTCACTGCTTAAATAGTGAGTGAAGAAGGCGCACAATGAAGACTTTAGAACAGATTAACCATAGACTTAATCTTCGAGTTCAACCCAGTAACCCGAGGCCCACCAAAATTGAATTTAGGTTGGAATTTTTTGACTCAAGTCTAACTCAAGTATTAAAAATCGTAGCCCAAACCTTAATTTTTTCAGGTTGAACTTGAGTTAAAATCGAGTTTGTCCGCCAAGTTGCACCCCTAATTCTTATGTTCATTATCCAAGTGTGGTAGATCTATCATTCTTCATGGAGTTTATTAAAATACGAATTTAATTATTAATTAGATCCTCTTAATTTATAAAATTTCGTTTGTTCCCATGGTCTTCAAATGCAATTCATCATTATAGATAGAAGATTGGAATGAAAAAAAAAAGAAGAGAATTATAATTTGGAAGGAATTTTTTGGGGATGGACAAAAAAATAAAATAAAAAAATAAAGACTAAATGATATGACAATGATATAATTATATTTTATCATAATTTTATTCATGAGAAGATAATTTTTTTCCTACTTTTATTTGTCAAAAGTCTAAATTTAATCTATAATGTCAGTATCAAATTATTTTGTACTCACTTTTTTATTCTTAATTTTTTTATGAATTTATTACCAAAATACAACACTTTTCAAATAAAAATACCGATCTATCGCACTTTTAAACTTATTTAATGATGAAAACGGAATCAACAATTCCAACATTCAACAAGTGATACAACTAAAAGGAAAAAAAAAATATTTGTAAGTATTAAAAGTGGTGGTGGTGATTCCGGTTGAAAGTAAAAAATTATTGATTCCGCTTTTAAAATTGTAATAGATCAGAAAAAAGTTTAAAAATGGGATAGATCAATATTTTTGTTTAAAAAATATGTATTTTATTTTAGTAATAAATTTAATTTTTATCATGAGTTTTTATAAAATGCACGTTTTTTTTTGTGCACAATACCTCTTACATGGATTTGTCAGACGTTGTGTGGGGCCGTCTACAATGTCGTGATTATATATACGGCGAGATTTAATTGGCAACGAAAAAGCTCGTGGCCATTTGCACGTGATGGACCCAAAACCCATCCACGAATTCATGAGAAAATGTTTAGGTGGGCAATGTAGTATAGGTCATTCACACCGCTTTTCGCACCTACTGTGACCTATTTCTAGATAGATAATGACGAAGTTTTGAAACGGAAGAGCACGTTTATGGATAGATATATACACATAGAGTTACACAGAGAGAGAGAGAGAAGGGAATTTGTGACTTTGGTATACGTCAAAATGTATAGACACTTAGCAACAAATAAAGAGGCCCGCCGTTTCACCACGAATCCAGACAATTCTGTGAACAAAGAAAGAGCCCAGTCGGTCCAATATTCTGTCTCCTATCTCTCCCACGTAACGGAAAATGCTATACAACTTAAATATATATTTTATCAATTTTTTTTTGTGTTGAAAGAAAAAAAAGAGAGGAAAAAAAGAAGAATGCCTTGAAACTATTCTGATGAAATTTTCATTAGTGGATCATGAGGGAATTTAGTTAGGTTTAATATAATAGTCAATCATCGAACTTATATATAAACTTCAAGACTTGAAATTTTTAACCTCAAGTTGAGAAGTTTGAACGATACCCCTACTAAATCACCACTTAAAATAATATATATATCATTTTTAAATGAGTGTTAAATGAGTGGCCCTTAATGAGTGTTAGATGGTTGGATTTCCCCTAAAAAATTTCATTAAACTAGTAGTTGGATGATATACATTTGTTGTAAAATTTTTTTTTTGGGGCATTACTGTTGTACATAATCTATAGTTTTAGAGAGAGAATGAGCAGCTTATCAGCTATGATACATGAGTAGTTTTAGAGAGAGAATAGAGCAACTTATGCACTATGATGAATCTATGATACATTTACATCTCCATCTGTGTCTTGAAAAAAAAGGCTGGCACCGCTGGTCAGCGCCCATTCAGGTGAGAACGTATGGCCAC